TGAGAGAGCTTTACGGGTTACTGGGCATCAAGTCCATTCGCACTAGCGTGTATCACCCGCAGACGGATGGGCTGGTGGAACGTATGAATAAGACTCTGAAGTCCATGATCCGTAAATTTATTAGCGAAGATGAACGTAATTGGGATAACTGGCTTGACCCTCTGTTGTTTGCAGTGCGGGAGGTTCCCCAGGCCTCCACGGGGTTTTCTCCCTTTGAACTTTTGTTTGGCAGGACGCCGAGGGGGGTGCTGGACCTAATTAAGGAAAGCTGGGAGGAAGGTCCGAGCCCTGGCAAGAACGAGATCCAGTACGTCCTGGACCTGCGAGCAAAGCTCCACACACTGGGTAAAATGTCACGAGAGAATTTGCTCCAGGCCCAGGAACGGCAACAACGGCTGTACAACAGAGGAGCCAGGCTGCGGCAATTCACGCCGGGAGAAAAGGTACTTGTGTTACTTCCTTCTTCCAACTCTAAACTCCTGGCTAAGTGGCAAGGGCCCTTTGAGGTCACACGGCAGGTGGGGGATGTCGACTATGAGGTGGTGCGGTCTGACCGGGGCGGAGCGACGCAAATATACCACCTAAACCTCCTGAAAGCCTGGAGGGAGGCGGAGTCTGTTGCCCTGGTGTCCGCGGTACCGGAAAGAGAAGAGCTGGGGCCGGAGGTGCCAAAAGCGGCTGATCCCACCCCGCTCCCGTACGAGGCCCGTCTCTCCGAGGACCAGAGAATGGACATCGCCCAGTTGCAGAAGCAGTTTGCTGACGTGTTCTCCCCCCTGCCAGGCCGGACCGACCTGATAGCTCACCGAATCGAGACGCCCCCGGGGGTGACTGTGAGATCACGTCCCTACAGGATGCCCGAACACAAAAGAAAAGTGGTTCAGGGGGAATTGGCTAGTATGTTGGAGATGGGGGTAATAGAAGAGTCCCACAGCGCCTGGTGTAGCCCCATCGTTCTTGTGCCTAAGAAAGATGGGTCGGTGCGGTTCTGTGTGGACTATCGCAGGGTGAATAATGTGTCACGGTTTGATGCCTACCCGATGCCCCGGGTCGACGAACTCCTGGACCGGCTGGGCTCTGCACGTTTCTTTACGACACTGGATTTAACCAAGGGCTACTGGCAGATTCCTCTGTCTCCAGAGTCCAAGGAAAAAACGGCGTTCTCCACTCCGTATGGGTTATACCAATTTACCACACTTCCCTTTGGCTTGTTCGGTGCCCCGGCCACGTTCCAGCGTCTCATGGATCGGGTGCTGCGTCCCCACGCTGCATATGCTGCCGCCTACTTGGATGATGTCATCATCCACAGCACCACCTGGGATGTGCGGCGGGTGGGCGCGGTGCTGGAGGCCCTGAGACGGGCGGGGCTCACCGCCAACCCGGGGAAGTGTGCAGTTGGACGGAGGGAGGTCCGGTATCTGGGGTACCACTTGGGGGGCGGGCAGGTGCGTCCTCAGGTAGACAAGACGACGGCGATTGCGGCCTGCCCGCGGCCCAAGACAAAAAAAGAGGTGAGGCGGTTCTTGGGGCTGGCGGGGTATTACAGGCGGTTCATTCCCGGCTTTGCGGACCTCACCAGCTCCTTGACCGACCTGACCCGGAGAGGTGCGTCAGATCCGGTCCAGTGGTCGGAGCAGTGCCAGCAGGCGTTTGAGAAGGTGAAACAGAGGGCTGGGGGCCGTTTTGTCCCAGGAGGTGGAGGGGGTCGACCGCCCAGTCTTTTACATCAGCCGGAAGCTGTCCGAGAGGGAGGCCAGGTACAGCACGGTGGAAAAGGAGTGCCTG